ATAGAAGAAAGATAGAAATAAAAGTATATTAAGTGTAATAGAAATTTTTTCATTGTCCTTGCTCTGGGACTATCCTATCCTTGAGTCGTTTCCTAGCAATTCTAATGAATACTTTTTTGTTGTGGTAGATGCGATATTCAATGACATCTATTATATATTTTTGATTACAATGTTTTTAACTTCTTTTATGATGGCAATTTTGATCTTTAATTTTTTAATTAATTTAATACTTTCAATATTTACTTGCCTATTTATTAAAATTACTGCTGGAATTATTTTGACATCTCTTATTTCTCTTCTCATTCTATCTTTTTCATTTCTTTGTATATTTTTTTCTTCAAGTAGGCTTAATTAATAATATGGTCTGACACAATATTCATGTTATTTAATAGACTAGTTTTATTCTTTTTATCTAATATTTAATTTATTGATGACATTTTTGTCAAATCATACAAATGTATTGTGTTAATTTCTGTTTCTAGTTACTTATTCTCATCAGGTTTAGATTTAAGTTATCCATTGTGATAATGACATTGTTATTCTTTCATGTGCTTTAATCTTAATTTCATCTGCATCTTGTTCATTTAATCTCATGATGCATTTTATTCTGTACCATTCCCTTGATTAGATCTTCTAGTCTATTTATTTTCCTTAGGATTTCTTTTATTTCATCAAATTTATCTCATTTAAATTTACTTTGGAGATAATAATACATACATATTGAAATCATTTTCATATCTTCTTGCAGATTTTCTATTCTGCTTCCTGACCATACCCATTTATTATTTATTTCTCTTATTAATTTATCTGATTCTTTCCTTTTCCAGTAGTAATTAATATTTACACATTTATCTATTTTCATTTCTTTAACTTGATTGATGATAGAGTTAAGATTCATTATCAATATTATAGTATTATTTTTTATGATAATGTTTTTTATTATTAGATTACACTCTACTTTCCCTTCTATGATGGTTCACTTTCATTTTAATATATCTTTTAGTTGATTATTTTATTTTATGTGATATTTTAATATTATTAATGTATTCTTTATCATTATTTACATTAATGTTTATTACTTTTATTATGCTTTCTATTTGTTCCCATCTTAATTTCTTATTTAACAAATTAATTCAAATTAACAGTATATCAATTAATACTCTATTTATTTATTTTGTTATGCTTTCTTTATTGATTTCATATTTACTATTCTTGTAGTTTCATATCTTTAGCATTTCATGATTTGATTATTATCTTTATTCTTTTGTTTGTAATTTATCAACTATTAACAATAATAAATAATAAAATAATAAATAATCAATTTTAATTTAATCTATTTATAATAATTGATAAAAATAGATGATCTATCAATAAATCAAACTAGTAATTAGAACTTGAAAATGAATGAATGATGTTTATAAGAAAATAAAAAGAATAAGAAATAAACTAAATACCAAAGAAGAATAAAAGAAAAATGAACATAAACAAAGAAGAAAGAAATGAAACGTTTAATGAGTTACAAGAAATAAGTAATATTGTTAAGTGTCAGATTGATAAAGTCATGAAAAGTGTACAAAAATATAATGAGAATTGGGAAAAAAGAATTGGAGAAGATATAACTGACAATAAAGATGAAAACCCAGAAGATAGAATTAAAAGAATCGAAGGAATTTATGACAGAAAAGAAGAAATAATTAGAAGAAATGAAATAGTTAAAAATAAAATAAAAGAAGGAATGAGGATGATAAATAATTTAAAGGATGTCTATCAAAGAATTAATGAAATTAGATATGATGATAAAGAGATACTATCAGAACAAGTTGATACTATCATTACAAAAGTGATGGAAACCCAAGAAATACGAATTAATAAATTAATTGAAGGTAATAAAGGAAGTACAACCAGGAATAAAGGAAAATTAGAAGATATTAGAATAGACTGGGAAAGTAAAAGAGTTGAAAAGAAATATCCACCGAAATATCAAATTGAACAACTAGAAGAGTGACAAATAGAAAATTATCCAATATACTATTTGATTCAGATAAAGATGATTGGAATCAGAATACATCAGTATTTGATAAAAGAATAATAAATAAAGAACATATAATAATTATTATTGAAGATGAAAATGGAAATAAATTTGGTGGTTATGTTAATGTGAAAATTGACGAAGTTAATTGTTATACAAATGATCAAAAATCATTTTTATTTTCATTAGAATCAAAAGGAAGAATACAAGGAATGAAGAAATTTGATATTAAAGAACCAGAATATACATTTTGGTTATGTGATCAAACAAGTGATATATTGTTTACATTTGGATATGGATGGGATATTTTTGTTTATAAAGAAAATGATAAAACAAAATCATATTGTAAACAGTGTTCATTTTCATATAAAGGAATAACAAACGCACTTTGTGGAAAACAACGCCCAGAATATTTCACACCACAACGAATTATTGTAATTGAAATGAAATGATTTTTATTCATTATTATTTATTTGAAATATAAAACTAAAAAAGAATATAAAATAAAATTAATCAATGAATATGAATATTTCATCTGCCAATGAATGAAATGATGAATATAAAAATGGACATATTTCTTTCTGGTTTTATTTTATTTGAAAGAATCATATTCATTGTGTTAATTTAATAAATAATAAAAAGAAATAAGAATAAAAGATAAATAAAAATAATAAATGAGTGATAAATCATTTTGATAAAATAAGAATGAAAATATAAACAATGATATGAAGAAAAGATTTATTTATTATTTTGTTATTTTGTTGAAAAAGTCATAATAATTTATTTCAAATGATAATTAATTAACAAGGACATTATTCAATGATCAAATATTAAATATATTATTTGATTGATTTATAATGTGCAATGAATAAATAATAAATAAAGAATAATACGAAATAATTTGATTAATAAAATTAAAAAATGAAAAATATAAATGATTAATAACAAAATATTTATGAATATAACAATGATGAGTTTTATTAATAATAAAATATAAGAATTTATGAAAAGATTAATAAAAGAAATGAAGAATAATATTCAGAAATTAGATCAATTTAATTATTTGTTTTATTGCAATTTATTTTCGTCATAAATAAATATAATCAAATAACTCATAGATAATATATAATGAAATGATAAATAATAATGATGAATAGTTTTTAAATGAATAAATAATAGAAAAAGAATAAAGAAGAAAAAGGAAGAAAAAGAAGAATTGAATAAAGAAGAATGATTATACAAATATAATAAAATACAAAGAAAACATTTTATTAAAAAAGAAGAAAGAAATAATAAAAAGAAAAAACAAAAAAAAAATAAGAAATACATGAAATTATAATAAAATAATAAAATAATAAAATAATAAAATAAGAAATGAATAACAAAAAAAGAATAATTAATTTTTAAATAAAGAATTAAAGAAAATAATATAAAAAAAAGAAATTGGTTAAATTGTGTTAATATTTTGTTGTTTGTTTACTTAATCCATTTCTTGATTTTCTCAATGTTTTTAACAAATTCTTCAAATTCATAATCTTTTAATGAAATTCCTTTCTGTCCTGGTTTTAATTCTCCATCTCGTTCATAAAATTCTCTTATATCAATATATTTTGTTCCTTTAAATTGATTAAGTCTAACATATCTTTTTTCTCCTATTTGTACATATTTATCATCTTCAAATGGAACTTTTATTTCTTTTTCCTTTTTAACTTTTTTCTTACTTTCCTTTTCTTCTTCTATTTCTTCACTACTTTCTTGTTCTTTTTTCCCTTTTGTTTTATTCTCTTTTTTGTCTTTATGTTTAATTTCTTCTTCAGATTCTTCTGTTTCTTCTTTTTTGGCTTTTTTCTTGCTTTCTTTTTCAACTTCTTTATCTTGTGAATTATGTTTAGGTTTTTTGTCTGACATTCTTCAATTTCTGTGTTTTTTTGAGTTTTTTTTTCTTTTTTTATTTTTATTAATTTTATTTTTTATTTTTATTAATTTTATTTTTTATTTTTATTAATTTTATGTGTTTCTTTGTTATTTATCATTAACACAAGAACAACTCTCATCCTTCTTCTTTTTCTTATTACTCCATTCAATAATCTAACTCTTTGTTATTATTTGATTTTCATTTAACAACACCAAATAACATGTGATTAATTTGAAATGAAAAGATGAAATAATGATAAATAAATAAACAAATAAAAATAAGAATGAATAACAAAAAGAATAAAAGAATGATGAAAGATAGAAATAAGAAAATAAGAGTCTTTTCATTTTTAAATTGATTGAAGATTTTATTCAAAGATTATAAAATAAAACAAGAATATTAAAATTAAAATCTTTGTGTTTCCATCTAAAAACATGATTTATTGTTGTGTTATATCTTTATGATTGTTAAAACATTAATACTCTATTTTGTATAACAACAAATTGTATTGTTTTAATAATCATAAAATATTGATTTAATTCATTCTTTATTGACAATTTCTTCTTTTATCATAATTTTGAATTATTGTAAAATATTCTTACCATAAATTCAAGTGTTATTTGTCTTTTTTTCTTTTTAATTATTTAGTGTTTAAAACTAAATCCTAATTATCCAACTATATCTTCTAAAAGAAGAATTGAATAAGAATTCTATCATTCTCTTGTTTCTTTGATTTCTTTCTATATTTATTGAAGATATTCTTAATCAACTTTCATCTACTTCCTAAAACAAAATAATATCTGTTTCTTTAAACTCAATAAAGTCAATATAAAGAAAGAATTTAGTTATTCATGTTTTAACTCTCCTTCTTTTAACCATGACATTATCTTATTAATTAAACTAATGAATATCAAATGAAGAAATACTTAATGTTTATTTTTATCAATGAAGTTAATGAAAGACACTTTTTCTTTATTCATTTCTTTCTCAAAAAATTTTTCAATTTCCTTTTTAATTTCTTTTTTCAAAATTTTCAACCAAAAACTTGTTTTCTCTTTCATTTTCTCTTCTTCTCTTTACCGATAGAATATCTCTATATGTCTCTTCATTTCTTCAAAGTATTTCTCATACTTTTTTAAATCCATTTCAACTCTTATCTCTCCTATTCTCTCTTCTTTTCCATCATGATATATTTCAATTTCTACTATTCCATTCCCATCAACTTTACATTTAACTGTCATTTCATATCTATTTGATATCTCTCCTGGTATTCCTTTAATCGTTACAGACTCGACAAACTCATCATTTTCTATATAAGAGGAAGTCCCTCTGTAAATTGAATAAACTGCATATGTTTGGTTTTTTTTCTCTGGAAGAAACTTCTTTATTGACGAATGAGGAAGCTTATCTCCAGCTTTGATAAAAGTATCTAATCTCTTTCCTGATACTTCAAATCCAATATCAAATGGGACAGTTTCGTATAAATTAAAAATTTTTATTTGAGTATTCTTTGAAGCTTCAAGTGCTGCTCCTTTGGCTACAGATGTTCTGCGATCAAATTTGCATTCTGCCATTTTTTTTGAGCTGAACATTTTTGATATCCTATCTCTGACGCATGGAACTAAACAACTTCCACCAACAGGAATAACCAAATCAACTGTTTTTTCATTAAGTCCTGCTCGTCTCAAAACATCTAGAACACAATTAGTAAAATCATCCATTATACTTACTTCATTACATCCCTCTTGAAATTCTTCTTGACTGATACTAATATCAGGTACTATTTCATCATCATTTAATATGTCGTTATCTATTAAATTTTCTAAGTTTATACTAACGCTGCCTTGTTTTGATAATTCAATCTTAACTCTTTCAGATTCTTTTTTAAGACGAGTTAATCTCTTACTTTTTTTATTTATTTCTTCTTTTGTATCTTTTTCAGTTTTCTCCCAATAATAATCTTCAACTACACCAAAATCGATCGCTTTTTGTTTAATAATATCTGAAATAACTTTATCAAAATCATTACCCCCTAAATTCTGATTTCCACCATTAGACAAAACTTTGATACCATGTTTTTCAATAAAACAACAACACACATCTAATGTCCCTCCCCCAAAATCTATAACAATAACCTTTTCTCCTTCTTTAATTTGAAACTCGTTCTGATAGGCAATAATAGTTGCAGAAGGTTCATTTAAGATACTAACTTCTTTAACTCCAGCTAACCTAACTGCCCTTTCAGTAGCAAGTCGTTGACTGTCATTGAAATTAACAGGTACAGTAACAACAACTCTATCTATTATTGGGTTGGACTTAGTTCCTTTTACAACATCTATTAATGCCCTTACTAGAAAACAAGAAACTTCTTCAGCAACAAAGACCTCATTCTCTTGGGTTAATGGATTATAAATTGAAAGTGCTGACATTCCATACTTCTCAACAACGTCAAAAGACCATAAGCTCCTTTCCCAATCCTTAATCTCATCAACCTTTCTACCAACTAATCTTTTAGAGTCATACCCAACACAATGAGAGTTAAAGTCATTCTTTGCTGATTTTCCTACAACAACACCTGAGCCCTTCACAACATGTGAAAGAGAAATCCATGAAGGTATATAGTCCTCACCATTATTTAAAAGTATTTTTGGTCCACCACCTTCTTCAACACAAGCAACGTAACAACAAGTAGTTCCTAAATCAATTCCGACACTAACTACTTTTTGAGAAGACATTACTGGATTAAATCTCTTTTAATTCTTTTTTAGTGGAGAATGAATTTTTTAAAAAATAAATGAAACATCATTCTTAAAAAAGTTAATAATTTAAAAAAATCCTAAAAAAAAAAATCAAAAAATAAAAAATAACAAAAAGAAAAACAGTTTTTAGTTATTGATGGAAAATCTTAATCTCTGTGAGTTCTTCTCTAAAGTTGGGTCTTGTCGTCATGGAGACATTTGCGAGAAAGTTCATATCATCCCACAGTCAAGCGTTACCATTTTATTACCACATGTTTGGCCAGCACAACAAGTAATCACACCTCAAGACCAAGAACAATATGAACACTTTTTTTTTGATCTGTACACACTCTGTTCAGGGTTTGGCCAGGTTGTTGATATGATTGTTTCAGAGAATCAAGCACCTCATCTTAAAGGAAATGTTTTAGTTAAATTTGCTACTGAAGCTATGGCTGCAGAAGCAGTAAAACACCTTCAAGGTCAGTTATTTAGTTCTGTAGTATTAAATCCAAGTTATGTTGGAATTATTGATTTAAAAGAGTCAAGATGCAAACAACATGATATGGGTGTTTGTCCTAAACACAGTGGATGTAATTATCTTCATGTTTTACCAATTCCCAATCAATTTGCTTCACTTGAAAGTTATGGGTATCCTTCGACTTTGGTTAAAAGAGAAAAACGTCTTTCTTGGGAAATACCTCAACCACAACAAGAAAAAAATGATGAAAAATCTCGTCGAAGAGGCAGAAATAGAGAAAGAAAAAGGAAGGATAGTGGGAGAGAATATAAACAAGAAAGGATATCTATTGACTTAGAGTATCAAAGAATGGATTATCAAGAACAGTGCTCATTGATTGGAACTTATCCACCACCTAATGTTCCTACATATACAGATATTTATAAAATGCCATAATAAATATTTTATTCTAGCAATTTCAATCATTTTTAAAAAAGTTCTAAGATTTAATTATAAGATTTCTTAGTAATTTTAAAACAAAAAGAAAAAAGAAGGGTTCTTCAAGGAATTTGATAAAAATTAATCTTCAATGATTATTTAATTATTAAAAAAGAATTAAAGAAAGAATATGATAGATAAATTAAACAAATTAATAAAATGAGAAAGGGTAAATATTTATAATAAATAATGAATGAAAGATGAAATGATAAAGGGAAGAAAATATAATAATATTAAAAAAAATTAAAAAGAACTTCATAATATAGTAGAATGTCTCATAAACAAATATATACCCCATTAACACTACTATCAGATGAATCAGGAGATCTTGTACAAGGTGTTATTTATATATGGAATTTTATTAACGAGTTTAAAAAAGAAATTGAGATAGAAGATTCATCATTTAAATCACTTGTAACAGCACTGTATTATGAGGACGTTTTAAAAGAAGATTGGACAACGATAAAGTTATATAAATTTTTAATTCCTTTAATATTTCATTATCAAGAATTATATTGGTTTGAAAGAATGGGTATGCCAATTAATAAAGTTACTATACCAGGATTATTATGTATTATATTAGAAAAAGAAGGAACAACATTTTCATTAAATGCAATGCAATATGTAAAACACTCTTATTTATCTTATATGATACAACCAAGAGTTAAAGTTTCAGTGATTGTTAAGTTAATTCAACTATTTTTAAACACAAAAATAGGTAAAAAAATAGTTCAAAATAAACATCAAACAAAAATTATAGGAATTGATAAAATGTGTAGATATTTTATGTATATTAATAATTATCTTATTATTGAAACAAGTGAGTTAAATTGGATGTTGGTTGATACTGAATTTAAAATGAATAATTTAATTCAATTTTATGGACAAAGTAAGAGTTTAAGAGAAATAGAATTAAGTAAACATTTAATAACAATTAAAGATACTATACATTTAGAACAAAGTCTTTATCAAGAATTTGGTATTAGAACTTCTATGATTGAAGAAAATCAATGTAAATCAATTGATTATAAAAATTATTCAAATCCAACTAATCTATTAACTTCAGAATCAATTACAGTAAAAGAAATTACAATTCAATTAATTCAAGAAATTAATGAGTTCTTAGAAACATTAAAAAATAGTATTGAAAAAAGACAAAAAAGAATTAAAGGAAGTTCAAATATCATTAATATTATTAGTGGATTAAAATTTATTCCTTCAAAAGACATAAATAATCTAGTTCCATTTATTAATACGGCTCATTCAATTCTATTAAAAGTTATTCAAAAATTACCAATTTGTTATCAAGACGAGTTATATTATAAAAAAATTATTCAATTTGTTAATAAAGAATCATTAACTTCTGCTACAGTATCAACAACCCAAGTCTTATTTTATTTAACTCAAAGGGTTGTTGATTTTAAACATGTAACAACAAGGTTAGATCAATCTTCATATGAGGATATTAGTTTCTCTGATTTTGATTATGATCTTGAAGAGTCTTCTCAAGAGCCAATGGAATCACTTACTGATATTATTAATTCTGAAGAAGATAAAAAACCAATAACAAAATCTACTAGGACTAAAAAGGATAATAAAATGGAAGAAGAAAATGTTGGAGCTATTATAATTGAAGATGGAATAAGTGAAGAAAGTGATACTTCATTACAAGAGTATGAAGGAGATGATGATAATGAAAGCAAAGAAGAAAATGAAGAAGATGACAATGAAGAAGAAGATGATAACGATGAAGAGAGTGATGATGATAAAATTAGTGATGATAGTTCTAGTGAATCAAATACAAAAAGAAAAAAGATTGTAAAAAGATTAAAAAGAAAAAAACAACGAGAAAATAATAGTTCTTCATCATCATATTAAATCGAAAGTAATATATTTCAATAGAAAAAGAATACAAAAAAGAATTAAATTGTATCAATTTATTGTTTTGAATGATTATTAAAATTTTATTTTGTTTGATTAAATTTATCATATAATTGATGAGCTGTTCCAATAGAAATAATAATATTAGCTTTAGAATAATATAGATCATCTAATTCAATGTTTTGAATAATTGTATCAAGTAGAATTGCTTTTCCAATTGAGTTATTTCGAGCTAATGTAGGAAAATTAATACTTGTAAAATGAACATGAAAATGCCAAAAAGATGGATGATAATGACAATAAATAACAATTTCTTCTTCTTTTAAACTAGTTACTGAATTTATATATTTTAATACTTCAAAACGCATTCGTTTTAATAAAGGAAGATGACATTGACGTAAAGATCTAATAGAAAGAATAGATGGGTCATTAGAAAAACAAATACCATAAAACAAATTCATATCTTTCATATTCCATTTTACATCAGGAACTAAAAAGAATCCATTACCTTTAAGTAAAGGTTTAGTAATATCATTTGAATAATCATTGATCCATTGTAGAGTTGAAGAAGGAATAGTAGAGATATAAGGAAGAGTGTATTGTTGGTATAATTCAGGTGTTTCTAAAAACAATTTGTATTGTTGTTTTTTATATTTATTAATTTCTTGAATATTTTGTGGTTTCATTACATTAATTTCATAACTCGTTTGTTGTTTATCTAATTTTATTAATTTATTATATTTAATTGAACTTACAGTTTGTGTAACAATATCTTTACTTGGTTCTTTTTTAATTAGTTGAATTAATTTATTTGCTTCATCAATTCCAATTTGTGATTTAATAATGCAAAATATACTTTTTTCATCTTTAAGAAGAGTAATTCCTTTAGAATCTTTGAGGTCATTTAACACAACTATATTTTCAGTCATTATCAAACAAATAGGTTTAGATGAAATTAAAAATTCTCATTAAAAAGTCCATTGGGTTTTTTATAATTCAAAAAGAAAAAAGAATTTTAATATTTTCTATTTTACTATTTAGTTTCTATTTAAAATAAGTTTATTTTGAATTAAGAACTTGACTATTACTTTTTATTTAAATTCCCCCTTCATTTATTTAATGAATAACTTCACTTTTTATAATCCAGTTAGATTGGTTTATGGAAAAGGTAGTTGTGAAGAAATTGTTAAACAGCACCTTATTCCTGAAGGTGCTAGAATTATGATGACATATGGTGGTGGGTCAATTAAAAAAAATGGAATTTATGAAGAGGTATTAAAATATGTTAAACCATTAATAGAGTTTGGAGGAATAGAACCAAACCCATCACATGAAACTTGTACTAAAGCAATTAAACTTGCTAAAGAAAATAATATTAATTTTTTCCTTGCTGTAGGAGGAGGATCAGTTATAGATGCTACTAAATACATTGCACTTGCTATGGAACATACATACTCAAATGATACATATGATATATTAATGAAAGCTGGTACATTTAAATATAACCCAGCTAAAGCAAAAATTGGTGTCATTTTAACAATCCCAGCTACTGGATCAGAAATGAATCCAGGATTTGTGATTTCACGTCATTCTTCTAATGACAAACGAGCAGCTGAAGATGATAGTTGTTATCCTCTCTTTGCTATTGTTGATCCATGTCATTCATTTACCTTACCAGACAACCAAATTAGAAATGGGTTAATTGATGCATTTGTTCATGTTTATGAACAGTACATTGGACATTATCAAAAAAATCCTGTAATTGATGGAGAATGTGAAGCAGTTATGAAGAGTATTATTAAAGTTGCACCAATAACATTAAAAAATCATTATGATTATCAAACACGAGCTACTTTTTGTTATGCTGCTACAGTAGCTTTAAACTATTCTTTGACATGTGGTATTGATCAATGTTGGGGAGCCCATAGAATTGGACATGAAATTACAGCATATTATGGACTTGCACATGGAGAAACATTAGCAATGGCTATGCCAGGAGTAATGAAATTTCATAAAGAAAAGAATAGACAAAAGTTAATTCAAATGGCTGAACAAGTTTTTGGAATTAAAAACGCACAACCAGAAGATGCTATCACTGCTTCAGAACAATTTTTTAAATCTATTGGAGCAAAAACAAGACTATCAGAATGGGGATTTGGTAAAGAACATTTTAAAGAAATTTCTGATAAATTTGATTCTAGACCATGTGGAGTTTATAAAGATATTGATACTAAAGGTTGTCTTACTATTTTAGACACTCTTTATTAATTTAATTTAATTCTTTAATACTTACTAGATATTTTCATTTGGATTTAAGAAAATAAACTAAAGAAAACTTATTTAAAATATATTTATTGTATATAAACCAAGGATAATTAAAAGAAAGATATTTCTTACTAAGAAAGCTAATAAACAAAGAAGACCTATTCTCTTGTTTATGGTTACTATTAAGTAATTACTTCGTGATAAAATAAATGCAAATATCCAACAAATAGAAAAGATAAACCCAGTTCCAACAAGTACATAGAATATTATCTTATATCTTTTTACTACTTTGTTTTCACTTGGATTCATTAAAGGTACATTGTCCATGTTATAAATGACTCTTTTTTGAAACAAAAAAAAGAACTAAAAACTATAAATTATAATATTTTTATAATAATAAATTATTTCATATTTTTTTTATTAAACCCCAAAAAAAGAAAAATTATTTTTTGTTTTTTTTTAATTTTGTGTTATTTGAAGAGAACTTGAAGGAAACTAAAAAATTATAGTACTAATGAGTGAAAGTAACTATGTATTTAGACGGGTAAAGTTACCAGCAAGAGGAGATAAACTCAGTTCTCCTTTTCAAAAATTTGACACCTCTGTGCCAAAGAAACAACTGACTGTTGTTGGAAAACAAAGTGGATTAAATAAAAACATTAAAACGAAAGGTGGTATTACTGCAGCAGATCTTCAAAGTGCAAAATTATCTGCATTACCGCCAACAAATTATATTGATGAAAAGTTCAAAGAGATTTCAGCATTATTTGATATTTCACCAAATGAATCAAGTGAATTATCATATGAAACTAAATGGTTACTTCTTCAAAGACACAGTCCTGATGCTTCTCAAAGTAAATTAAGAAATGCTACATTTGCAGTTTCTTCTTTAAGATGTGAACCAACACCGACATTGATTGAATCAATTATTGTTTTTTTAAGAAATGAAAAATGGTCATCACAATTTATTGAGGCAGATGGTGTAGAAGCATTAATTGATGCATTAACTTCTTCAATGAATGGATCAGAAAAAAAGAATGGAGCTGAGGTATCAAGAAATTGTCTTAGGGCACTAAGAGTTATTGCACCCATAGCAGAAGATAGAGTAGTTAAATCAACAGTATGTGACTTATTAATGAAATGTTTGACAGTTAATGTAGCAGATGAAAGAATTAGAACTGAAGCTACTATGTTATTATGTTTAATTTCTAATAAGAAGAAAGGAACAGAAGAAGTTTTAGCTGCAATTGATAAAGTTAAAGGTAAAGAAGGTCGGTTTAAAATTCTTGTAGAATTATTTGGAAAAACTGATGACAGTGAATTAAAAGCAACTATTGCCGCTATGTTCTCATATTTAACAAATAATGCTGACGATATTTTTACTCGTATCTCAAGACGTGCAGAATTAACATTAAGTGGGTTTGATGAAAAGTGTAATGGAGAAAAGTCTAAAGCATCACTAGCAATGAGCAAAGATGTCTCTGATATTTTAAACCAAATTGGAATATATGAAAAGTTAAGAAGAGAAGATGATGCTAAAATGAAAGAAAGATTTAAAAATATTCCAATATTAAGTGTAGAACATACTGATGAAAAACTTAGAGAAGTATTAGAACAAGCAAGAGCAGAAATTTATTATGTTCAGATGTTAAAAGAAATTGAATTTCTTGTTGGAACTGATTACAGTAAAAATAAAAATGAAACTATCTTGCAACAAAAATTAGTTGTAGCTACTAGATTTATTAGACAACTTGGTCTTTATTCATATGAAAATGATCAACATAATACCATCGAGTTTAATGAACATTCAATAGATATTAATTCTTTAGTCTCAGGAGCTGCAGACTGTCTTGGAATGGCAAAGTTATTGGAAGAAAATGCTACGTTAAAATTAAATGGAGGAGTAAAGAAGACAAAAATTGATGATGAAGAGAAAGAGAAATTAATTCAACAAAAAATGGAAGAAATGAAAAAACAGTCTTCTTTGATTGCTGAAAATGAAGAAAAAGTTACATTAAAGTTAAAAGAAGTAGAAGAAAAAGAAAAAAAGATCGCCTTGTTAGAATCAAGCCAAGCTGCTTTAGATGGGCTTAAAGTCAAGTATGATGAACTTAATGTGCAGCACAATAACACAATGGAGGTTATGAAAATTCTTACTAAAAATCCTAAATTAGTTGATCACTTAAAAGCTGTAGGTGGAGTGTTTGCTTTTAGTGAAACCGCAGTTCAAATAGCAGATAAGAGTCAAGAAGAAGTTGTTAACAAGGAAGATTTAGACCGATTAAAGGATGCTGTTCTTAAGTTGTCTCCAAAAGGTGTTGCAGCACCTCCTTCTAGTACACCAACTGCAGCACCCCCTCCTCCTTCTGGAGTTACTTCAGTCCCACCCCCTCCTCCTCCTCCTGGAGTTACTTCAGTTCCACCCCCTCCTCCTCCTGGAGTTACTTCAGTCCCACCACCACCTCCTCCTCCTGGAATGCCAGGTATGCCACCCCCTCCACCTCTTCCTGGAGTACCAGGCATGCCACCACCCCCACCTCCTCCTGGAATGCCGGGCATGCCACCTCCACCTCCTGGAATGCCAGGTATGCCACCTCCACCTCCTGGAATGCCAGGTATGCCACCTCCACCTCCTGGAATGCCAGGTATGCCACCTCCACCTCCTGGAATGCCAGGTATGCCACCACCTCCTCCTGGATTTGGATTTAGACCACCTGGAGCACCAGCACTTAAAGTTCAAACAACATTAAGTAAATTAAAGCAGCCAAAGAATAAGTTAAAAGCTGTTCAATGGCAAAAAATACCAGAAAGACAATTAAACAATACTATATTTAGTAAAATGGAAGGGGACGTTGCTGTTAGTGAATGTTTTGATGACTTAGAGGAAATGTTTAAACAAAAAGAAGTTGTGGTAAAAAAGGAAGACACTAGCAAATCAAATAAAATTCAGTATGTTGGTATATTTGATGGAAAAAAATCACAAAACATTAATATTATGTTGAACAAATTTAAAGGAGTATCTGTAGAAACAATAATTGACAATATCAATTCACTAGACATGACTTTGTTTGATGAAGTCTCATTAATAGAAGGTCTCAAAAATGCACTTCCAGTTGCATCATCAGACAAAGATGAACCCGGGTTATTAAAAGATTATTATGAACACCCTGAAAAGTATGTTGGAAAACAATTAGATCCATCTGAAATATTCTCATACAAATTAAGTCAATGTTCTAATGCAGAGAAGAAATTAGATGTTATGACGAAATTACTTCAGTTCCCAGGTAAATTTGATGATTGTTCTCGCAATGTAAAAACATTATTAACAGCATCAACACAATTATGTGAAAGTAAATCATTCTTAAAACTACTTGAAGTAATTTTGATCATTGGTAATTATATGAATAAAGCAAGTAAAAAGCCAATTACTTGTGGATTTAAAATGAGTGTTTTAGGGAAGTTAGCAGATACAAAGTCTAATGATAACCAAAAGAATTTAGTTTATTTCTTATGTAAATATATTCATGAGAAACATCCAGATTTATCTCATTGGATGGAAGAGGTTGAAGCAGTTGTACCAGCAGTACGTGTTATGGGAAGTGAAGTTGAGTCAACATTTGCTGATTTAAAAAAGACAGTTGCAGGATTTGATGCAACCATTGCTCAATTACAAAAAACACCAGGAAATGAAGGATTTGTTGCAGAATTATCACAACTTAATTCAGGGTATTCAACCAATATGTTAGTCCTTGAAAATGATAAAAAGAAATATGATGTTCAATATTCAAAAGTATGTCAGTTATATGGTGAAGATACAAGTAAATTACCTAAAAGTGAAGACTTCTTTAAGAATTTCAAAGATTTTTATGAAAGCTATGAAAAAGCAGAACAAATGTATCAAGAAGATAAAGCAAAGGCTGAGAAAGAAGCAAAGAAAGAAGCAGAAAAGAAAAGAAAAATGGAAGAACAAGAAAGAAAAGCTAAAGAACGTGAAGCAAAGAAAAAACAACAAGAAGCCATGGTTGAAGGTATGGCAGAAGATATGGTTAAACCAATAAAGAAGGTAAAGAAAGTAAAAAAGTCTAGAAAAGAAACTATGGAAGTTGATTTTGAAAAAGATTTAGCTGAAGAACGTAAGTTGGCTCAAGACAAACCTGAAGATGAACCTGTCAAGAAAGTTAGAAAAATTGTTAAACGAAAAGTTCATAAGAAAGCTACTGTGGTTACCGAAGAAAATTAAATTAATTGAGCCATTTATTACTATAAACTTAATTTTATTTAATGAAGACTTAATTAATTATATTTTTCATTTGCTCTCAAATTATTTAAATAATTAATTAGTTTATTGGGTCTATTACAAATAAATAGTTTATTGACATTCTTATTATTATTGCAACGACATTACAACAAAGAAATTTTTATTACTTAGTGAAGGTATCAAGTTTATGTTATAATCAATATGTCATAGACCATAACTTAAACATAAAAGGAAGACAATAAACAAATATCACTTAAACCATAAAAATTATATGAACTTAGTTTTTTAACTTTTTTTAAATAATAATCTTTTGTTTATTAATTATTAATTCTATTAGTAGAAATCACTTAAGGTTAGCTTTGTTTAATTCACTAATAAGTACAAAAAACAAAGAATTGTTAAGTTTTAAAGTGATAAAAGACCTTCGTTATAGTTAGGTGTAGTGGTATAAATAGTGTTTAACAGGTTAGTCATTTAAACAAAGAAGTAATAATAATTTATAATATAACGAACAATCTTTAAGTGTTTTCTTTTATTTAACATCCTAAGAATAGGGAAGGTCACCTTTTTATAACAAAGAGAAGTCTTATTAAGTGCACCAAAGAATTTATCTCAATAATACGGAAGATATGAAGTAGTTTTCAGTAAGGAACTTAGAACAAATAAAACTTATTTGTAGATAGGAAAAAATCCACAAAAATAATCGTTTAAAATATCTCAAAAAAGGCATTCAAACAAAGCAAATCATTGTATAAGATTTATATTTTGTGTTCTTTTTTAGTTTAGAGATAGCAATATATTTAGAATAGAGAAAGATATAAATAGTATAAGAAAAAGATCTGAAAGAGAAGGAAAATGGGAATAAAATGAATGGAGAAAATTAGAATGAGTTTTCTATAAAAAGAGAGTAAATGTACCAAATAGATATTTTATATCAAATAATAAAAAGAAGGAATAGATAACATTTAAAAAATACTGAAAAATAACTGAAATGTAAAATTATATCACCAAATAAAAATAGGAATCAAAACAAAAAAGTTTGATCAATTGGAACTAAGGAAACTAAGAAATTTGATTAAATGACCGCCGAAGTTAAAGTAATTGTTATTGGAGATACAAATGTTGGTAAAACTTGTTTATTGTTAACATACACAACAAATAGTTTTCCTGATTCTTATGTTCCAACTGTATTTGATAATTACACTGCTCCAATTTCGGTGGAAGGAAAAGCCATTCAAATGAACCTTTGGGATACTTCTGGTTCTGATGACCTTGATGAGATGAGACCTTTAAGCTACACTGATACTGACTGTTTTATGATCTGTTTTTCTATTGCAGAGGAAGATTCATTTGAACGTATCAAAACTAAATGGGTTCCAGAAATCAGAGAACATTGTCAAAGTGATGACCCACGTATCATATTAGTAGGAACAAAATGTGATATTCGTGATAATCAAAAGTTAATTGATACATTGAAAAAACAAGGAAAAGACCTTGTTAAAAAAGAGTCTATTGAAATTATGGCAAATGAAATTGGTGCAAAAGGATTTGCAGAATGTTCAGCAGCAAATCAAGTTTGTTTTTATTTTGAATTTCTCATAAAGAAATAAACCAATTTTAATAAAATGAATAGAATGGATTAAATGAAGTTTTTGAAATGGCAGCAAAAGTGGCACTTGGAATGGAAGATGAAACAAGAGATAAGAAAGATAAAAAAGACAAGAAAGATAAAAAAGATAAAGAAAAAAGAAAGCATAATGGTAGTATCTTTAAGAAGATATTTGGAAAATAATTTGTTTTCTTTATTATCATATTATTATTCTCTATCTTTGTTTAATTTCTTTTATTATTAATTTTTGTGAATCATTATCAGTTAGTTTATTCTTGTTTTGTAATAAAATTCCATATTTTTTTCTGTACTCAATAAACTTCTCTTTCATCATTACCAAATTTAATAAACAAGTTTACCTTAATATCGTTTGACCTCAGATTATCTATTTACTTGAGAAATAGATTATAAATGAAATGAGTATGATAGTATAAGAGTGAACTATTAAATATATTTTTAAAATATTATCAATTAACTAAAAATATAAATAATTAAAAAGAATATATAAAAGAATTATTAAAAAGTTATTTGCTAGGTCTAAATAGAGTTGTTCTTTGATGTTTCTTATTTATGGAGACTAATCCCATAGTTAAATTAAAGTTAAAAAATAAAGTAATAAAATAGAGCTTAAAAATAATAATAAAGAAAGAATTAATGTAAGCAGTAAATATATGATAAACATAAATTGATTAACATATCATCAAACAACGAGAAAATTAATAATAAAATTATAAATGTATTTAAATAAAATACTATATCGAAAAATAAATATAACCAATATGAAAGAATCAATGAAATATTTAATTGTTATCAATGAAATATTATGACAATGTTTATGTGTTAAAAATAAACTTTATAAGAGAAGTAAAGTGTATTAAAAAAATTGAATAAACATTTCTTAATCTGAAGAAAAAAGAATTTATTTAATTTAATATCTTTTCTTTAATTTATAGTAAATAGAAGTTTTATATTGATTTTAGAAAATATATTTCATTTGCTCTCATTAAATAAGTAAATATACATTACAGATATTAAAATATATTTAAATACAACATAATCATGTGTTGATATTTGATAAAATGAAAGATATAAATTATATTAAATGAACAATGAAATAAAACAACACCATCATATGTTACATTACTGATACATAAATACTTAATAGAGAAACAACAAATAATCAAAATAGAATAATAAGAATACAATAATTGAATGAAAAAGAAAAATAAGAAGAATATTTAATGAACAATCTATTCAAAATGATATGAAACAATTAACAATTAAATTAGATGATAAAAGACACGATAAAACAATAAATGAAATAGAATATAAAAGAGAAAATAAAATAAATATAACAGAATAAATAACAACAAAGATAATAACTAAAATGAAAGAATAAAAAACAAATAATAGAAAAGAATAAAGAAATGAATTATTACATAACATCATATTTTAATGATTTACAAATACAATCTAGTAAATATGAAGAATTACATGAATAAATGATAAATAACAATGAACAACAACTAAATGATAATGATATGATAAAAAGAAAATAAGAAATAAGAAAATAATAATAAATAAACAAAATAAACAAATGATATAACGATACATAGAAATAAAGAAAGAATAAATGAAATTAAAATAATTAACAGAGATACACATTTTTGAAGAGAATAAATTGATAATCAACATATCAAATATTTTATTAGATAAAATCAAATAAAATATAATAAATATAATAATATAAATACATGAATAGTTATAAGATTAAGAACAACAAAGAATAACAATAACATTAACAAGTTTAAATGATAATAATAATGAAGTTGAACAATTATATGAAAGAAAAGAAAATTATACATCTATTACACAAACTATAATTAAATAAATTAATATTAAATTAATTAAAAGAAGAAATAAATGAAACATAGAGAAAATAAGAATAAAATAACAATAAGAAGTAGAATAAATAAACAATAAACAATAAAATAATAAATAGAGATGATGTTAATCTCACCAGAACAATGAACAATATAAAATAAAACTAATAACACTTAATTATCTACATTTTTTATAATTAATTGTATTTTCATTTATATTTCATTTTCATTTATATCATTATTATGTGATATTATCATTAATTATGATGAAATGTTTTGTTATTTCTTATTTTTTATTATTTTTAGATTCGAAGGTAGCACGTTAGAGACACCACACAGAATCCTAAAATATTATCATCATTTAAATCTACCAGTTATGGACTGGTTATGACGTAGCGTTTGGTTAGAAAAACACATTACCCGGTACTGAAAGAATAGCAGTGTTTATTATGTACAATGATGGGATATCATTGACAATAAAAGAATGGGTATTTATAAAGATGTTATTATTACTTGTTATGATACAAGTATTATTTGATAATATAAGATTATCAAAGGAAAAAAAGTATCTCGTGGTTGATATTAAAAAGAATATTAGCCCAAAGCAATACAGTAATAATTATATATTCTCCTTAAAATAAGAAAATAAAGAAGAATTTTAAACCCATTAAAATCAAAAAGAAATTAAATAATGAATATTTAAATAATTGATGTTTAAATACTCTATTTCACATCAAAAATGAGAAAAGGAAAATTTCACAGTTCAACAACTAAAATCAAAGAATAATCCAATGGTTGAAGAAAAAACACTTTTAAAACAAAGTGAGAGATTATTTAATCTCCCCTGAGCAAGGAACAAAAGAAAATATTTCTATTAATACTTAATTATCTGCTTTTTATTTTATTGTCTTCTATTTTCTTGTTTTTATTATTGTTATTTAAAACAATAAAAATGAAATGACGCTTATTAAAATAAAAAAATGATGTGTTATAAACGTGTATTTAAGTATTTAATTATCTGATTTTGATCTGATGTTCATTAAATTAAAATGGAAGAAGTGTTGAATAACCAGTTAATTAAAGAAGTAATAGAAACACTTCCAAATATTCAACAATCAATTGATGATACTAATAAACAATATCAATATTATTTAGGATGTATTAAAAATGAAATATTTGAGAAACAAGATAATGAAACATATGAACAAGCAATTAAAAGAGGAGAAGGAATATTTGATAGAATAGATGAAATAGTTAGAAGAAGAAGAATAGTAATAGAAAAAGGACAAGAAACAGTAAATAAAATAGAAATAATTAAAAATAAAATGAACAAAATAATAGAAGAATGTAATGATGATTCAGAGGCAGTTAATGAAGCTAAGAATGAACTAATAGATAAAATCATTCACATGGAAGAAATGGATATGGAAGATAAAATTAAGAAATTAGAAGAAGAAATTAACAATATTAAAACAAAATTTAATAAAAAT